GCTCTCAGGCCACCCCACACCTTCGGACTTGGAACTGGCTGCAGGGGGGCCAGCCATCTGTTTTTTTTTTGGGGGGGGGGGTGGTTTTAATTAATTTTTAGAGGAGGAGGAGAAAAAAACATCGGTGTGAGAGTGCAGCATGGATGGCTGCCTCCTGCACACCCTGTGGGTGACTCACTCTGTGGCCTCACGTTGAAGTCCTTTCTTTGCTCTCCGTTGCCTCGCTTCCCTCCGCTGCTGGGACGTGGCCCAGGCGTGGACATGATCAGCAAGATGCTGAAGATGCAGATGCTGGAGGACGAGGACGACCTGGCCTACGCCGAGACCGAGAAGAAGGCGCGGGCGGACTCCACGTCCGACGGCCGCCCCGCCTGGATGAGGACGCTGCACACCACCGCCTCCAACTGGCTGCACCTCATCCCCCAGACGCTGAGCCACCTCAAGCGGACGGTGGACAACATTAAGGTGTCCCGCGGGAGGGGGAGGTCACCGACACCAGGGGCTCGCGATGCTCTTAGCTGGGGGGTAGACTGCTCAGTTCTGTCTCAGAGGCTCTTGCCCCAGCCAGACGGGAGGGCTGCCCTCACTGCGCTGCGAGTCCCGAAGGCTGTCCGTCTCCCAGGAGCTGGGGTCCAACCAGCGTCCTGGAGGTCGGGCCCAGATCGTGCTCAGGCAGCCGAGGGCACCTGCTCGGTGCTGTGGTCCTCGGGCTGGTTACCAGGCGGATCCTCTTCTAAACCCTCTTCCCTCCTCTCTGCCTTCGGTGCGAACCACCTCAGGACCCCCTGTTCCGATTCTTCGAGAGAGAAGTGAAGATGGGCGCCAAGTTGCTGCAGGACGTCCGCCAGGACCTTGCTGACGTCGTCCAAGTGTGCGAGGGGAAGAAGAAGCAGACCAACTACCTGCGCACGCTCATCAACGAGCTGGTGAAAGGTGTGCTCGGGAGCAGGCGTCGGGTCTGTGCTCAGCATGTCGGCAGGTCCCCTCGCACCACATCCCCTCGCCAGCTTCTCCGGCCGCTGGGCCCCCTCCCTTGGGCAGCCTTAGGAAGGCAGATCGAAGGCATTTGCTTTCCTTTATTCTGGTCCATCGAACATTAACTAAAAGCTTTATGCAACTTGTGCAGTATACAGGGTGGGGCAGGAGAAAGGGGTGGGGGGCGTGGGTGCAGAGACCCAGGGCAGCCCAGGTGCCTCCCAGCAGCCCCAAGAGCCGGAATCGCCAGAGGCCCTCCAGGCAGAGCGGTGGGCGAGAGGCTGTGGCTGTGGTGTCGGGTCCTCCAGACACGCGCCCTCAGGTGCACTGACTGCTGCCGCGCAGGCGGAGCCCTGCCAGGGTGCATGCGGTGCCGCTGGGTTCGGGGTGGACACACTCGGGGACCCACGTGAGTGCAGCAGGTTGGCCCAGCCTGTGCTGGGGGATTGTGGGAAATGACGCCGGTAGCCTTGGTCTCCTTGCAGGGATCTTGCCGCGCAGCTGGTCCCACTACACGGTACCTGCAGGCATGACTGTCATCCAGTGGGTGGCCGACTTCAGTGAGAGGATCAAGCAGCTACAGAATATTTCTCTGGCGGCTGCGTCCGGCGGTGCCAAGGAGCTGAAGGTGGTGACAGCGCTCCTGAGGGGCCGGGGGAGGGTGGCAGCAGCAGGTGGGGGGCGGAGGAGGCAAGCAGGGGCCCAGCTCTGACCCAGGAGGACACGTGGGGCGTGCTCCTCACCAGGACTGCTTCTCCCCCAGAACATCCACGTGTGTCTGGGCGGCCTGTTTGTGCCCGAGGCGTACATCACTGCCACCAGGCAGTACGTGGCCCAGGCCAACAGCTGGTCCCTGGAGGAGCTCTGCCTGGAGGTCAATGTCACCACTTCGCAGAACACCACCCTGGACGCCTGCAGCTTTGGGGTCACGGGTGAGTTGAGGGTCCCGAGCACAAAAGCTCCCCAAGTGTTGAAGGTGGTCAGTGGGCCATGGTTCAGCCGTGAGCACCCTGCCATGGGTTCCCGGGCCATTCCCACTCTTAATAGCTGGTTTTCCTCCAGGTTTGAAGCTTCAGGGAGCCACGTGCAGCAACAACAAGCTCTCGCTCTCCAACGCCATCTCCACGGTCCTGCCACTCACGCAGCTGCGCTGGGTCAAGCAGACCAACGCGGAGAAGAAGGCTAACGTGGTAAGTGGCGCCTCCGAGCCTCTGTGGTCGGGGAGACACGGCCCCATAGCCAGAGCGAAGTCACGTCCCCTGTCCACCCGGGAGCGGGACCTGGCCTGGTCAGCAGTCTCCCCACTTCCCTCAGGAAGGCCCGAGGCACCTGCAGCCGCTCCGCCTCTCCCTCGCCAGCACTGACCCGCTTTCCTCGCAGGTGACCCTACCTGTCTACCTGAACTTCACACGGGCAGACCTCATCTTCACGGTGGACTTCGAAATCGCCACCAAGGAAGACCCTCGCAGCTTCTACGAGCGTGGGGTGGCCGTCCTGTGCACCGAGTGAGCGCCGTCTCCCAGTCCCGTCTGCAGGGGAAGATGCAATATTTAACACGCACTCGTTCTTAAAGTCTCCAAAGGCATGCACTTGGCAAAGCCAATCGTCGGTTTGAGGTTGGAGAAGCAAGAATGCGGACGATGGTCAGGACTGGTGGGAGGGAGGTTGACGGGCCCAGGCCTGTGCTTTGAGGTCGATGGCATGGCTTGTTTTATTAAATAAAACACTAAGCATGACACGCTCCTGCCTCTTCTGTCTCAGCCCCGCCATGGGCACTGGGCCGTGGGCACTGGGCCGCTGGCACTCGGTGAGCTCCACTGTGGCTGCTGCATTACAAGCCTGGGTAGGAAGCCCTCGGGACACCGAGCAGCCAGGTGTCCTGGATCAATAACTGATACCTGAGCCTGGCCAGCATAGCTCGGTGGTTGAGATCAACCTGTGAACCAAGGTCACGGTCAGGGCACATGCCCAGGTTGCAGGCTGGCTCACCAGTGTGGGACATGCAGGGGGCAGCCGATCAGATTCCCTCTCGTCGATGTTTTTATCTTCCCTCCCTCTCTGAAGTCAATAAAAATAACCGATACCTTAGCTTGTGAAGCTCCTCGTGGGGGAGCCGGTGCGAGGCCCTCGTCAAGCTCTGCCACCATCCGTGTCCTCCCAGCATCTCGGCGGCAGGGAGAGGCGGCCGGCAGTCCGAGTGCTGCTCCCGTTCAGGGGGACGTGAGGGCGACGGAGGGAGTGTAGCCTCCCTTCGGACGGGCTCTGAACTGGTCCCTGCGAGAGTTCCAGGGTTGAGTGCGAGGCCCCAGCAGTGGGAGTGGAGTCCTGCCCGGCCACTCAGGCCCTGACCCCCAACCCCGTCCCCATCCCCAGGGTCTGAGACGAGAGCCAGAGCTGCTCCTTGCCCACTTCTGGAACGTTCTGCAGAGGTTCAGCGGTGGCTGACTGCAGTCCAAAGCTGTGGTCCACTGAAAACCGAGGCCCGTTTTAAGTGTCTTTCTCTGAACCAACAAGAGGATCCTGTTGGTTTGCAGTGGGAGCCCTGGACCTGGGCAGGCTCGCTCCGGGAAGAGCCCACAGAAGGCCACGTGGGGGAGCGTTCCCGCCCAACCCCCAGCCCGCCCACTTCACCCCACTTACAGGCCAGGGTCTGCGCACGGAGCTGACGTGGCGCCATGTGAGGGTCCGGGACAGGAGAGGAGGCGCCCGCGATCCAGAGGCCCCGCGGGAGGGGCGCAGAGCAGCTCCCACAGAGCGACTTGGCTGCAGCAACTTGGCTACCGGCCACCCAGCCACCCCTGAGACCCATCCCCGCCTCAGCTGGGGCCGTCCCCGCAGATCCAGGGTCCCAGCTCCCCCACAGGACTGCCCATGAGGTGCCCAAAGCGCTACGACCTCCAACCCCAGACCCGAGACGACGCCACCAGGGCAGGGCCTCCTCCAGCCTCACCCACCAGCCCCTCGCCAACCGTCCATAGGGCCTGAGGGGACCTAGGCTCTGGGACCATCACTGGCCCTGCCCCCAGAGGGTCCGGCTGGTCAGTGGCCACAGCTCTTCCTTCCTGTCCTCTGAAAGGGGGGCCTGAGGGGCCAGGGGGCACATGACAGCACCCACGCGAAGCCAGCTCACCACACAGGCCACCACCAGCCCAGGGTGCCCTGGAGAAGCGACACCCAGGGCCCCAGGCGCCAAAGGACACTCAGGCCTGTCCTCGGGGGACCTTTTATTGGCACTGGGAACAGCGTGGTCCGGGGCTGCGGGCAGCGGCCACAGCAGAGGGCGTGGATGGCGTTGGCTGTGGGCAGCGGCCACGGCAGAGGGAGGAGGGCGTTTGGTCTTTCCCTGCCAGGAATGAAACACTGAATCACGGAAGTATGAGAGCTGCCTCCCTGACATGTTCAGATGTCACTGCCTTGGGACCATGCTCCCCCTAAATGAGCCAAAGCCAATGCACAGCCGGGCTGGGGTGGCTCAATGGTTGACCCTCGACCTATGAACCCAGAGGCCATGATTCGATTCCCAGTCAGGGCACATGCCCAGGTTGCAGGTTCGATCCCCAGTAGGAGGTGTACAGGAGGCAACGGATCAAGGATTTTCATTACTCATGTTGCTCGCTTGCTCTTTCTCTCCCTCTCGCTTCCTCTGTGAAATCAATCAAAATACATTTTTTTAAATGTTTGCCAAAAATAAAGCCATCAGCTGAGACCGGTTTGGCTCAGCGGATAGAGCGGACTGAAAGGTCCCGGGTTCGATTCTGGTCAAGGGCAAGTACCTTGGTTGCGGGCACATCCCCAGTAGGGGGTGTGCAAGAGGCAGCTGGTCGATGATTCTCTCTCATCGATGTTTCTAGCTCTCTATCCCTCTCTCTTCCTCTCTGTAAAAAAATTAATAGGATATATTTTTTTAAATTAAAAATAAATAAATAAATAAAGCCATCAGCTCAGAGGTCCCTGGAGCGGTCCCAGGGGCCGGGAGCAGAATGAAATGGGGGTGTTCCTCCAACAGTGGGCTCCACTCACCTGGCCTAGGCCCCGTGCTGCTTCCTCCGCTTCCTCTTCTCGGGCTCCGACAGCAGCAGCTCCAGCTTCCTCTTGGACAGCGCGAGCTTGGGCGCTTTGTCCTTCTCACTCCCGAGTCCGGGTGACGTCCGGGACGCTCTGGCCCGGCCCTGCACGCGCCGGCCTGCCTCCGGGGGCTCCCCGGGGGGGAGGAGGGGTCCCCGGTTCTCCTCCGTCATTTCTGCGGGCTGCATGTCCACGTCGTCGTCCCCTGGGGACGCAGGATCTTCTGACGAGGGAGGGTCTCCTGAGTGGACGCCGGGGCTCCTGGGCGTTGGGGTGTGGGAAGGCCCGTGGCAGGTCACGTCGCCGGGAGAACAGTCCTTGATGCCACAGGCCAGGTGGGCGGGGGCGTCCTCCAAACCCGCATAGGGATCTAAAAACTGACGCCAGAGCCACTGAGCCCTCCCCACAGCGGGCAGGGGGCTCCTGTCTACACAGCCACGCTTCCCTCACCGACGCCCGCAAAGTGGGCAGGATCTGCCTCGCAAATAGATCTCTTAAAATGCATTAGTCACGCCGAAACCGGTGTGGCTCAGTGGACAGAGCGTCGGCCTGCGGACTGAAGGGTCCCAGGTTCGATTCCGGTCAAGGACATGTACCTTGGTTGCGGGCACATCCCCAATAGGGGGTGTGCAGGAGGCAGCTGATTGATATTTCTCTCTCACCAATGTTTCTGACGATCCCTCTCCCTTCCCCGCTGTAAAAAAATCAATAAAATATATTTTAAAAAATAAAATGCATTAGTCACATGGCATCTAACATGCCTGAGGGACCACTGTTGCTGGGGCCCTGCCAGACAGAGCCCTATGATTAAAGCCCTCAGCCAGCACTGATCAGGCCCCCTGCTGGCTCCGTCCATGTGGCCAGGCTACCACCAGTGGCCTGAGCCCATCCCCTCCCCTAATCCCCTCCAGGGCACAGCGTCCCTGGTGCCGGATTAACCAGGCCTTTGCAGACCCCCTCGCTTCCCGCCCACAGGTGCCCGGAAGAAGCTGCAAGGAGCCCTCCACCCAATTGCTCCCTATGTGAAAGGTGCTGGGTCTGTTCTCCACGCCACCTGAGCAGCACCGGTGAGCGGCAGGGTGAACCGCAGTGCAGGCGCCACCCCCACCCCCACCCCCACCCCCACCCCCACCCCCAGGGCGGCCATCACGGCAAAGGCTTTGGAGCTTTTTGGGCGTCTAGTAACAGCCCTCCTCACCCCTGACCTTTGGAATTCATTTTAATTTTGATTGAGAATTTAGAAATTGATGAATTATAAGCTGATAGTCTTGTCAATGGTCTAGACAGAAATACTTTGAGTCTTTTTGTTGTTGTTATTTAAAAACTAGAGGCCTGGTGCATGAAATTCATGCACCGGTGGGGGGCTGGGGGTCCCCCTTCAGCCCAGCCTGCACCCTCTCACAATCTAGGACTGCTGGCTCCTAAGTGCTCACCTGGCTGCCTGCCTACCTGATCACTCCTAACCACCTCTGCCTGCCATCCTAACCGCCCCCAACTGCTCCCTCTGCCTACTTGGTTGCCTCCAACTGCTCCCTCTGCCTACTTGGTTGCCTCCAACTGCTCCCTCTGCCTACTTGGTTGCCTCCAACTGCTCCCACCCACCAGCCTGGTCACCCCCAACAGCTCCCCCTGCCGGCTTAGTCACCCCATGCAGCCTGGTCATTTGGTCATCCCTCACTAACCCCCCCTGCTGGCCTTGTTGCCACACACAGCCTGCTGTTCAGTCGCTACTGTGACAGCATATTCTTCCATTATTACTATAGATTTTTTTTAAAGAGTAAAAATAATTTAAATATCAAAATGAAGTTTTCCCTAAAATATGTCACCAGCACCATGCAGTGGGAGACAGGTCAGCTGGCAAGGCTGGCCCCTGGCTCTGCCTGGGGACTTGGGTTTCAGGACGGCTCCCACACAAGAGGGGCTGCTGGCAGCCCTGGCCAGGTGGCTCTGTCAGTTAGAGCTTCCTCCCGATTCGCCAAGGTTGCGGGCTTGGTCCCGGCCAGGGCACATAGAAGTGTCAACCAATGAATGCACAAACAAGCGGAACAACAAACTGATGTCTGTCTCTCTCCACACTTCCTCTCTCTCTCTCTCAAATTAATAAAAAAATTAAAAATAAATAAAACATAAGAGTGGCTGCCAGCTCATGGCCTAACGTACCTCTCTCCAGATACCTTCAACGAAGTCCGCATAGCTCTTTCTGTGATTGACCTGGGGAAAGGGTTGAACAAGTGTTGCTGCCAATCAAGGGAGCAGGCGGCTGCTTAACGTGCAAAGGCAGGAGCAAGGTGCCCGCTGCCCGTGCCATGGTCTCTGCAGGGCGGGGCTGGCGAGGAGGAGCCCGAACGGGGGCAGAGCCCTCAGAGGTCTGGCTGAGGGACTGAACCCAAAGCTGGGCCTCCTCGGACCAAGAACCAGGGGTGCAGGAGACAGGCCTGGCAGTGGGGGACCCGAAAATGCCCCTGGACCAACAGGCTGCACTCGCTCCAGAGAACCAGGGCCCACCCAGCCCTTCCCCGGGAGGCAGAGGCTGAGGTCCAGATGGGGCCAGGCCCTGCTCGGCAGACATTCTAGAACCCTCCCCAGCAAACCAGGCTGCCAGGAAAAGCAACTCTACCTTTTTCTTCTTAATCAAAAAGACAGACCCCCTAAGGCCAGGGATGGGAACACCTCTGATTCGGGGAAGAGAAAAGACCCGGAAGGATGACGCCCAGGGCAGGCTTTCTGGTCTCGGGCACCCGCCCCCCATTCCGGGGGAGAGGAAAGGGCTGCGAGGGAAGCACCTTGAGGCGCTGGAGCGCGTTCCTCTGCCTCCTGCGCAGGCTGGCCCGGGTGCTGGGGGCGCTGAACGCGGCCCGGATGCAGCCGGGGCGGCTGGACCTCAGGCTGGCCATGGCTCCGGTGGGGATGTGCGGCTCACTGTGCTGCAAACACCCCGTTCCCGGGGACAGGGCACAGGTCAGTGGCTACAAGGTGGGCAAGGAGCTGACCACTTTCTGGAAGGAGGAAACCGTCCCGCCTATGGTGGGGGTCGCTCCACGGGATACATTTGTCAAAGGTCAGAGCTGCAGGGCCACAGAGTGAATGAACTTCACCGTAAAATATGCATCCGTCAGACAAATCTAGTTTTCAAAAATTTTTAGTCAAAAGAAAACCCACAAGCAGTTGGTGGCCTGGGAAAATCCCACAGGCATTAACATGGAAGGTTCTAGAACCCTGTGCAGAGGAGACCACCATCCAGCTCAAAAGTCCTCCCTGTTTGCTTTTTTAACAGATAAAGAAATTTAAGCCCAGGTTGGGGATGGACTCCAACAAGGTGACATAAACTCAGAGCTTTTCCTAAAATGTTTGAAGTAGTTAAAATTTTTAATATGGAACGCTTGATGAATTTGCATCATCCTCACTCAGGCACCATGCTAATCTTCTCTGTATCATTCAACTTTTCTTTTTTTTAGGGTATAAACCATTTTGGCTCAGTGGATGGAGCATAGGCCCTGAGGACTGAGGGGTCCCAGGTTCTATTCCGATCAGGGTCATGTGCCTTGGTTGTGGGCACATCCCCAATGGGAAGTGTGTAGAAGGCAGTTGATCAATGTTTCTCTCTCATCAATGTATTTAGCTCTCTATCCCTCTCCCTTTCTCTCTGTGAAAAATCAATAAAATATATATTTTTTAAAATAAATAAAATAGAAACAAACAGCCCGGCCAGCCTGGCTCAGTGGTTGAGTGTTAACCTATGAACCAGGAGGTCACGGTTCAATTCCCCATCAGCGCACATGCCCAGTTGCGCTTGACCCCCAGTAGGGGGCGTGCAGGAGGAGCTAATCAATTATTCTCTCTCAACATTGATGATTTTATCACTCTGTCTCTTTCCCTTCCTCTATGAAATCAATAAAAATAAATGAAAAACAAAAATAAATAAAAACAAACCAAAAGAAGGAGAGACTACCCACCTCCGTGGAGTTTCATGTCACGGTTTCCTCAGGAATCCCGGAGGCTCCGTTGGGCCTGCGGGAAAGTGTCGGTCACTGAAGGCACCACCGCCACCGGCCTTGCCCGATAAACGCAGGTTTCCCAAACTGGGCTCCTTGGAACACCAGTTCCCAGGCCTGGAAAGCAAATGTCCAGCGAACCACCAAATTCTACACTCCAGACCCGGAGGCAGCGATTTTCAACCTTTTCCATCTCATGGCACATAAACCAATTACTAACATTCTGCAGCACACCAAAAACACATCTCTTTTTTTCCTGATCTGACCCAAAAAAGGCTTAATTTTGATTCGTTCATACAAGACAGCTCTTGGTGTGTTGGCTGTTAACATTTTTTAAATTTGACAATCGAAGGGAAAAGAGGTCAGTGGCCCTGGCTACACAGTCAGGCACTGCCTGTTGTGAAAATCCTCCCAGCAGTGAGCCAGGGAGCGGGGTGGGCAGGGCCAGGCACAGCCTCCCGTGCTGTGCGGGGTGGCTGCAGCTGTACTGTTGGGTTGGATACCAGTCCCGCCTCCTGCCACGAGCTAGCCTGGCAGGTGTCGCCCTGGGCAGGTCAGAGTGTAGGGAAGAGCAGTGATGGCTGATTAAGACCTGAACTCAGGGAGGCCCTCTTGCTTTAGCCAGTTCCCTTGGGGAGAGCCCCTAATTGGGCCTCTGGGCCAGAGTAATGATGCAAGCTCACCATGCAGAGGGTAACAGCAAGGAGGGAGGGGAAGGGTGAGGAAACAGGTTGGCAAAAAGATAATTCCCTCCCCTTGTGAGGGTAGTGACTTGGGAGTCCCCAGTTTGTCACTTAATTGCTGTGTACCAGGTGTACCAGTTAATAATGCAGATTTTTTTCAATAGCTGGAGTTACACATATGTTGATACATACACACACACACACACCGTATTTTTCCGGCGTATAAGACGACCCCCTAATTTTACAGGTAAAACATAGGTTTAGGTCTATATTTGCTGTATAAGACTACCCCTCCACTTCAAAGAAAAGACTTACTTTGCCGTCAAGATCTGCAGGTAATTTTTGTGAATTTGGGTCTTTTGCCTCCGATTTTCGGTTGACTTTTTTTCGTTTCAAAGGTCGTCTTATACACCGGAAAATCTGGTGTGTGTGTGTGTGTGTGTGTGTGTGTGTGTGTGTGTGTGTGTGTATATATATATATGTGTGTGTGTGTGTGTGTGTGTGTGTATATATATATATATATATATATATATATGTGTGTGTGTGTGTGTGTGTGTGTGTGTGTGTTTCTCTCTCATCGATGCTTCTAGCTCTCTATCCCTCTCCTTTCCTCTCTGTGAAAAAAAAATAAAATATATTTAAAAACAAACATATATGAGGGATAGAGAGCTAGAAACATCGATGAGAGAGAAACACCGAGCAGCTGCCTCCTGCACACCCCCCACCGGGGATATGCCCGCAACCAAGGTACATGCCCTTGTCCGGAATCGAACCTGGGACCTTTCAATTCGCAGACCAACGCTCTATCCACTGAGCCAAACCGGTTTCGGCTATATGCATTTTGATATGTATGCTATTTTGTTGTACTGACAACAAACTTCAAAACTTCATATGTCAAATTTAATGAAGGTGTTAACATCATAGATATTTTTATGCTTAAAAAGTCGAATTTCATGCCAAAAAAAGAGCATTTGTGGGAAGTTTTAATTCATTATTTTGAAGAAAAAAGTTATCGTATACTTCAGGAAGCTTATGGTGAACATGCTCCATCTCAAGATACTTGTGAACACTGGTTTAAATGCTTTAAAAGTGATGATTTCTATGTGAAAGACAAAAAACGTCCAGGTCAACCGAAAAAGTTTGAAGACCAACTATTACAAGCATTATTGGATGAAGATGTGTATCAAACTCAAAAACAACTTGCACAAAGATTAAACATTGCTCAGCAAACCATTTGATCGTGTACAAGCAACAGGAATGATTTTAAAGGGGGGGAAATGGGTGCCACATCAATAAATGAAAGACAAATGGAAAACTGAAAAGTCATCAGTAAAATGTTGCTTCAATGGCCCAAAAGAAAGTCTTTTTTGCGCCGGGGCTGGTTTGGCTCAATGGATAGAGCGTCGGCTTGGGGACTGAAGGGTCCCGGGTTCAATTCCGGTCAAGGGCATGTACCTTGGTTGCGGGCATATCCCCAGTAGGGGGTGTGCAAGAGGCAGCTGGTCGATGACTCTCTCTCATCGAGGTTTCTAACTCTGTATCTCTCTCCCTTCCTCTCTGTACAAAATCAATAAAATATATTTTTTTAAAAAGAAAAAAAGAAACATCGATGAGAGAGGGTCATCAATCAGCTGCCTCTTGCACACCCCCTACTGGGGATATGCCCGCAACCAAGGTACATGTCCTTGACCGGAATCGAACCTGGGACCCTTCAGTCCCCAAGCCGACGCTCTATTCATTGAGCCAAACTGGTCCCAGCTCATCGATGTTTCTAACTCTCCATCTCTCTCCCTTCCTCTCTGTACAAAATCAATAAAATATATTAAAAAAAAAAAAAAAGAAAAAGAAAGTCTTTTTTGCATCTAATTGTGACTGGCAATGAAAAGATTTATTTTGAGAATCCCAAACCCACAAAATCATGGGTTGATCCAGGTCAACTGTCAACATGGACTGCAAGGCCAAATCGCTTCGGAAAGCAGACAGTGCTCTGCGTTTGGTGGGAACAGAAACAGGTGTACTATGAGCTTCTAAAACCAGATGAAACCATTAATACTGATCTCTACCAAAAACAAATAATCAATTTAAACCACACTTTGATCCTGAAACAACCAGAATGGGCCAGAAGACACGGCAAAGTAAATTTGCTTCATGATGACACACCATCACACACTTCAAAACCAGGTAAAGACACGTTAACAGATCTTGTCTAGGAAGTATTAACCCACTCGCCGTATTCTCCAGACCTTGCTCCTTCATATTACCATGTTCTGACTGATGACACACACACTTTCTGAGCAGCACTTCAAAACATAGAAAGAAGTAGAAAATTGTGTCTCTGAATGGTTTGCCTCAAAACAAGGAAAGTTCTATTGGGACGGTATCCACAGATTACCTGGAATATGGGGGAAATGTGTAGCTAGCGATTGACATTACTTTGAATAAAGCACTTTTGATGTTTCTCCTGAAATGATTGTGTTTTATTTGATTGCAAAATCCACCATTACTAACCAGCACACCTAGTAACTTTGGGTTAGTTCCTCGGCTTCTCTGAGCCTCCATTTCCTCATTGAAAAGTGGAGATAATAAAAACTCAGTCTGGAGGGTTGCTGTGAAAGGTTCACATGAGCCTGGACAGTGTGGCTCAGTGGTTGACTGTTGACCCAAGAACTAAGGGGTCCTGATTTGATTCCTGGTCAAGGGCACATGCCTAGGTTGTGGGCTGGATCCCCAGTAGGAGGCATGCAGGAGGCAGCTGATCAGTGATTCTCTCTCATCATTGATGTTTCCATCCCTCCCTCTCTTTCCTCTCTGAAATCAATAAAACATATTTTAAAAAAGAAGTGGGAAATTTAAAAAATTCCTCACGGCACACCGGTTGAAAACTGCTGCCCTAAGCACCCTCACTGTGCACAATACACATCATGGTTTATTTTTTACTTTTATTTTTGTTCTTTTTAAAAAAATATATCTTTATTGATTTCAAGGAGAGAGGGAGAGGGAGGGAGAGGGGGAGAGAGTGGGAATGGAAGTGGAGGGAGAGGGGAGGGGGAAAGGGGAAGGAGGAGAGGGGAGGGGGAAGAGGGAGAGGGAAGAGGGGGAGAGGGAGAGAGAGGGAGATGGGGCAGGGGAGAGGGGAAAGAGGGGAGGGGGAGTGAGTGTGGGAAGGGAAGGGGAAGGGGAGGGAGAGGGAGAGGGTGAGGGGAGGGAGAGAGAAGAAGA